AGCTGCTGAAGGAAAATGATGGTCATTGACTTGTTTCATTCTCTGGCTTAAGCTTCATTCACAAAATACAACTGTCTCTCATTAGCCCTGCAAAGTACATCTACTGGCTTCAGACAAGTATGTTTCAGAAAGAGGTTCCCTGATAGGCCAAATTTGCAGGAGAGGGCAGCTCTCTCCTGTTGTGGCAGCACACATTACAACAGTGTAATACATGACTAATCCGTTCTCAGAGAAATAATTCCTCTTTGTCCTGCAAGTAAAAAGCAATCAGACTTGCTTCTCCACTGCCGCGTGCTTTGTGGAGGCATTTACACCTGTGAAAACCAGTGTAAAAAAGTAGTTATTATGTATGTTGGAATGGGTTTAGTAATGTCTTGCACAGAAGTAAATGATGGTGCAGGACTGGAAAATCAAGGTTTGTTTATTGAAAGCAGTCCTTCCACTCCCAGGGTCAGGCCTGTGGTTTGGAAGATGATACAGACAAGGTCTCAGATGAAAAACAGGTTGTGCTTGTACTTTTGAAATCTTCACCATAATGTAGTTCTTGTGAGGATTAACATTCTGTAGGAACTCCTCTGTTTTACACAGTTAATCTGACGCTTGCCAAATCATAGAAGAAATTACATATGGAAATTAATTTTGTTCCTTGTTCTCTTTGCTTTGGAGGTCACTTCTCCTTTCCTCTTTATGCAATACAAGCAAAACCAACTGGAGCAGGTCTTTGATCTATAGGCAATCCCAAACCTCCTTAAAACTGACAGGGACACTGACAGGAAGGAGAATTAAGTTCTTCTATGGCATAAAATGCCTAAAAACGAGAAGCTGCTGCTCATGGCACAGGGGTGCATGGCCAAGTGCTAAGATGAGCTAACTTGTATGAGCAAGCACTAATTTGGGGAAAGCCAGGGAGACTTTTCTAGGGACTGCTTGTGAGTCCAGCAGCAAGAGCACAGATTGGTTGCAGCTGTGTTTGCCTGTGTGCATGTCCGGGACCGGAAACACCACGCAAGAGCCAGCAGACAGTGGGAGAAGCAGTGGTGTATGGCCCTGAAAAAAAGCCAAGGGACAGCTTCTTCTGGGCAAGCATCCTGGCTGGAGCAGCAAACTTGGACTGCTGCACAGTTCTCCCTCCCATTTGCTTCCTCTGCGTGCAAGGAAATGGGACGTGGCTGTACATTCTTTGTAAATAAATAGGATTTTGCTAAGGAGCTGACTGAATTCATCATCGATTTCCCCCCCCCACATCCCTCTGCAGAAAAATCTGGCAAAGTGCTGAATATTAGTTAACTCTGTAGGTCAAAGTTCTGTATGCAAAACTACAGAGCTTTTCACTACTGCTAAAATAGTCACCAGAGACACTGCAGATATCAAGGCAGTCTCTGAAATTCAGACCTCAAAGCAGCAGTTGATCATTTCAGTTGCTGATGATCCTTCATGGATTTTTAATGCCTGGTATTTCTACAGTCCATATTAAAAGTAACTTTTATGGAACAATAACAAGAAACTGCTTTCTCTGATCCCGTGTTTGGAATGTTTAATATAGTCCAGATGTATCTGTTGAAAAGAAATGTAGTCAGATACAATATAGTTGTGAAACATTTATACATCAATAAGGTTTTTGATACGTGGAACTGTTTTGAATAATTTATTTATTTGTGTTATCTTACGGTATCTTCTTATCAAGCTGCTCTAAGCTCTTGCAGATTTATGTCCACATTTAGGTACCCACAGCAACTACATTATCCACCTCAGATTGAGAGTATGCTCACCCCAGCACAGCTGAATAAAGCAGAGTCCTTCGAGAAGCCTCTGTCCCGAAGCTGGAGTGTATTCAGAGTGTGCTCTGACACCTCTGTAACGGGACGTGAGGCCTTAGCCTTAGTGGGAAGGCAGGTTTGCAGCCAAGGATAAGACTGTAAAATGCCCTCAACTCACCTCTATTCCCCAGAGCTTCATCCCAGGAGGCAATTACAATCCAACAGGTCTTTGGTTCAGAGGTGCTTTACTGATGTGGAATACAAATTTGGGAGGAAAAAAAAAATGCTGCTTTTAACTCCAGCTATATTTATCAATCAGTTCTTCTCCAGCAAAGCACAGCGGGTGCCTGGAGCCTGGAATGAGCAGCTGGTGTGGCCGAGGGCAAGGCTGTGTTACTTTTGGCAGCAGTGCTGGCAATAGCTGGCTGGAAGCATTTGTGAAATTATGGCCTGTGGGGGCACTTCTGGTTTATGCTGACGTGTGTGCAGGCTGCCACCAAAACAGGCCCTCTCACTGGCTCATCCTGGCACTGGTGTTTGTTCGGCTGCAGGATCAGCTGGCTGCCAAAATTGATCCTCCTGGAAACTTTTTTTTTTTTTTTTTTTGTAAACTGGATTAGCTTTCAGCTCTGTTGGCAAGCCGATCTGGCTTAACATGTGGCTGCATGAGTGTCGTAGCCAGCAGAGAGGAGGCATCAGGAAAGCATGACTAAGGAAAGGGGAAAGGATGGAGTGATGACTTTTGCAAGTAGCACAGTCTTGTCTTGGCTTAACCCCCGAGAATCTGCCTGTCAGGGTAGAGTTACCTGTTACAATTTGAGTCACGTTAATGGCTTGCTTCCACTGGATGAGAAAAATCTTGTTCCTCTTTTCCTCACTCTTCTGACGTTAGACCTGGTGATTGTCTAATCTTGCATTAAACTGATTTAACTTGTTGCATCAGCACAAAACTCACCTCAACAAAGAAAAGGGAATAGCTTTCTGCTGACTGAGAGGGTGGAATCAGCTCAGTAGAGCATCTGCAGAGGCTGGCAGAGCTGGAACAGGCAAGGGGAGTAATAGCTGTCTGCTCTGAGATCACTGACTGAACCACAACTCAGAGCTTCAGTCTCAGAAATCTCCTGGCATAGTGCTTATTAGAAGAGCCATGATCTGGGTTCTCTCTGTAGTTTAAAGATGACAGTGGATGAGGCCCTTTGTCTTACAAAAAATATGATGCTTGTCTTGAAAATCTGGAAATTACCACTATCTTATAATTCTACCGCTGTATTTTCAACCCTTCCATAACAAAGTGGCATTTATCCTAACACCTCCTTTCAAGCTGGGCCTCTCCTTTGAGCCTGGATTTCTCTTGGTTTTATTTATCTATTATTCCACGGATCTACAAATGTTCTTTTCCATCAGCCAGGGCTTTTCTCTGAAGCTTCCACAACCGGCCTTTGATGTTGCCTTGGGAAGACACTGTGCTCTTGGACGCAGGAATGCAAGCTCATAAACTGCTACTGAAAGTGCTGCTATTGAAGCAGAGTTAAAAAGTATAGAAAGATGGACCTGTATACGTGCAAAACAGCTGAGTGCGACTCAGTCAGATAAGACATAGAAGAGTGCCCAAATTCTGTTTGATTATGCTCAGGACACCTGTGGAACACTTAAGTAGGGTGCTGACTAGGCAGTGTTTCTATGTGCCAAGCACAGAAATCCTGCTGTGTGTTTGCCCAGAAGTTTAAGCTTTCCTCTTTGACTGAAGAAATCAAAGGCAAAGAGGAACAAGAACATTTTCAGGTAGACCTAATGAAGAGGCATTATCCCAGGTGGGCAGGCAACCACTCTTCCACCCATTCAGCTCCTTCATTTGTAAGGAGACAGAGTTGGACCAGCCCAAAGAATTAATTGAGAATAAAAAGTATTCTAAAAATACATTAAAATGTTATAGGAGAAAGAGATGTAAATAATGAGTGAGAAATCTAAAATGCCATATTGTTGTTAATCTTTAGCCATAAAATTACAGAGAAGATTAACAGGACCCAGAAATTCTTTATATAAAAGTGGCTGTTGGGAAGGTGTAGACAAGGAGTACTCAGCAAATGTAAATGCACAAGCATTGGGATATCAGTTGAAAGCAGCTTAGGTGGCTGAGGGAAATTACCTGGAATTACTTGTTTTTAATAAAAGCAAACAAGATGCTGGACAATTAAGAAAAACAAGCAGGATGTTGAAATACATCTGAAGGTCTCGGTTGCTTTTGTGCAGCAACTCTACCTGCTGGGGTTGTTCTCCAGTGGATAGTGGAAGAAATGCCTCAGTGTGTAGGCACTCTGAAAGGGATTTTCAAAAATTTTTGTCCTTGGTCAAACTGTTCCCATTGAGTTAGCTGAGCAGGCAGGCCAGCTTGGGTGGGACAGCAAGGAGAGAAGGTGAGGGGTAACCGACTGCAGTGAATTGGGGAAACATAACCTTGGCACGTTATTGAATGGCTTTTAAGACCCAGATGCCTAAATAATGAGAAGAAATATGTCAGATGTGCAAGGGAGCTTCATTTGATAGAAGTATGGTCTGATTTGTGATGTTCCTTGTGTGGGTAGTCCTGGAGGTGAAGAGTCTCCCCTGTGCTGATGAGTGACGGGACTGCAGTGGGTGCAGAGTAGGGGAGTGAAGGGATGCAGGAGGCAGAGTATGTACACTTGAGAACAGCTTTTGATGTTCTTTTTGATGTAGTACTTCACAAAGTCTAACTAGAAAATAGGTTCAGTTTGACTTTGATGTGAGACCTGTTCTGTTGACTGAGAACTAACAGAACTGCAAAAGAGATATCCAACACAAAGGTTCTCTGACATCTCAGCACTTCCAGACTCAGTTTCATAGTCCTGTAACTAGAATGTTCTTTCAAGTGGACATGGGATCTCTTCTGCTCCATCTCCCTGGGACTAGTCATTGTTTTGTGGAAAACCTGCACTAGTTTTACAGGCCACGTTAAATCTCCAAGAGATTCACCAGCTGGAAACAGTATAACCAGTGTGTTCAAGCAAATAAGAATGAGTTGCTATCCTTTTATGAAGCACGTTAGGCTCTCTGTCTCAAATTATGTTTTCTTTTAATGAGTGCTTTCGGAAGGTGGCAGATCCCCAGCAGGATTGTCACCCAGCAGCGCCCCTCCTTAGGCTGTGCAACGTGCGCCTGAGAGCTGCAGGCTCAAGTGTAATTTAACAGAGTTAACAAACAACAGAAACCCGTATATATCTCGGCGGAGGCACAGGCTGCAGCCTCGGCCGCCGCCTCAGGCAAGCAGCATCCACCGGCGGCCCTCTCTCCCGGCAGCTCCGGGGCCTTCCTGGCAGCTCGCAGGCAAGCGGAGGAAGGGAAGAGCGGCAGCAGCTCCTGCCCTGGGGCTGCATCGGCGGCCGCGGGCCAAGGTGGGTGGGACGGCGGGGCAGCAGCTCCCGGCCGATCGCTCCGGCGGGCCGGGGCCGGGCGGCGGGGCGGGAGCGGCGGGCCCGGAAGGCGGGCGGCGGCCGGAGCGGGAGCGGCGGCGAGCCGTGCGAGTGTCCGAGGCGGCCGCTCCCCCGCCTGCCTGGACCCCCGCGGGCCCGGCCTGCCATGGTGAGTAGCGGGGCCCGGGGGCGGCAGGACGGGCGGGCGCGGCCGGGGAGCGCAGGCCGCGGCTTTGTGAGAGGCTGCGGCCGCGGCCGGAGCCGCCGGTAGCGCCGGCAGCCGCCATCCCCCCTGAGCCCCGCTGTGCTTGGCGGGGCGCGGGCGGACCAGCAGGGCCTCCCTGCCCCGGGCTGCGGTGCCCGGCGGAGCGCTGAGACCCCCGCCGAGGCCAGGGCCGGCGGCTGGCTGCAGTGCCGTCGTTTAGGGGCGATTCCCCGCTGGAATTGCAGAGGGGGGTTGTAACCAGGAGCAGCAAGGGAACCTCTGCCGGGTGAAGAAGGGACAGTGGGGGTGAGCGCGGGGCCAGCGTTGGGGCAGCCCCTGCGCTCGACAGACCGCCCAGCCCTGGGGCTGAAACGGTGTTCGTGGGGCTGTGAATGCACTGAGCGCAGATCGCTTGTTTCTTCCGGCTTTCCTGCCTTTCGAGAGTCTGGACGTGTTGGATCTACCAAAAATTCTGCTCCTGGAAAAACCTTTGGCTATGAAATACCAGGTTTGAAGCATGGGCAATTTACCCAGGTCTTTTTGGCTGTGTGGATAGCAACCTTCCAATAGCTGAAAGGGGTCTGCAGGGAAGCCAGAGAGGGACTCTTCATCAGGAGCTGTAGTGACAGAACAAGGAGTGATGTGTACAAACTGAAAGAGGGGAAATTTTGTTTAGATATCGGGAAGAAATTCTTTACTGTGGGGGCAGTGACACTGGAACGGGTTGCCCAGGGAGATTGTGGATGCCCTCGTCCTGTCAGTGTTCAAGGCCAGGTTAGGTAAGGCCTTTGGCAACCTGGTCTAGTGGTTGGTGTCCCTGTCCATGGCAGGGGGAGTTGGGACTAGATAATCTTCAAAGTCCTTTTCAACCCCTTAACATTCTATGATCCTATGTTACCTACTGCTCATGGAGGTCAGGTGTTGCTCAATAAAATGTATACAATGACTCTGTTAGGTTTCAGTTTCTCTCAGTGGAGTGAACAGATCATAGCTGCTGCAAGGAGGATCTTCCATTTCCCTTCCCTCTGTGTGGGACTCCTTTTAGGGCTGATTCAACACACCAGTCTGGCAGAAGGCTGGTGAAATTGCTCATAGGGGGTCCTGACACAGACCGGGGTCCTTGCCAAGGAAGGGAGATGTGACCTCTCCTGACTAGCTCAACTACTTGTGGAAATGTAGCTTGACTTGATCAAGTCTCATTTAGAGCAGTTACACACCATTGCAGGAAACTTGTAATTCAGGGATTATCTTTTTGGGTTTTTTTTGAAGCCTGGTGAAAGTCTGGTTTCACTTTCAGCATGCTGCTGGCTGATAAACTCAACTTCTGTGCTGAGAAGCATGCTAAATGAATTTTTGTCTGGAGTGTGGGAAAAAGCTACTGTGGTTGTTTTTGCTTTTATGGTTTGATGTTATTTGTCATTCTTCTTCCTAATGATAAAACTGTGCAAGTTGCTATTTCTGATGGGTGACATCTGTTGGGTTTGTACCCACAGATGCTTTTGGTCCATGTGCTACAAGTGGGGAATTTCAGGGCCTCCCAAACCTGGGTCAGAGGTTACACAGAGAAATTCCCAGTGGAAAAGTTGAAATGTAGCTGTAGTTCATCACACAAATACCAGGTTGCTAAGGGTTGTTTCAATCCACAGACAATTTACTGTCTGAAATTAAAGAAGACAGAAGTTAATCTGTCCAACCAGTCATACAGGTCTTCAGTATTTTTGGCTTGGCATATCTGGTGTTGTAAGAGGGGGAGAGGGGAAGTTTGTAGACCTGCACATTTATTTTTTTTTTAAATCCAGTGTTTTTAATGATGTGGTATAAAGGTTTTGAAATTCAGTTATATTTATAAAGCATAATTATGTAATTTGGTAAGTGGGGTTGAAATGCAACAGGACAGTTTTAGTTGGATCATGAAGCCTTTTTGTGTATGTTTTTTGTATTTTTAGGAGTGTGAAAATCTTCAGTGTTTGTCCTGCAATTTTTATGGAAAGTGTTATAGTAAGCATTTTCTGCATTGGTTTGCAGTTCTTGCTGTCAGGCATGCAAAGCTGCTTTTCCAGCTCCCTAACTGGGAAGTAAAATCCTGCCTGGTAGAGGAGATGGACCAGAGCAAATATTTTCTGTCCTGTGCATTTCCATTTACTAAGAGATGAAAAACTGTCATTTTAGTTTTGTAGTTATTATCCTCTTAGCACATGAGCAGAACTGATCTTTATGCTGCTACAGTGGCTAAAAGCTATGAGTACAAGTTGGAAAGAGAGAGCTGCTCACAAAAAGGAAGATTCAGGAGTGGAGGGATGAAATTATCATCTTCCTGTCATCCCATTATTTTTAGCACCAGGAAAACGATGGAAGAGAAACATTGCTTTGAGAGCATGAGAGGTGCTTCAAAACTATATTCTCCCCACAGAAAATGAGGTTTCTGAATGGGATCTGTGGGCTTACAGGAAACCCATTAGTTAGAGTTATTAGACCTTTTCTCTGGGACTTTTCCCCAGTTGTAGTGGTGGCTTCTTCTGCCTCCTGACTTTAGTTCTGAGTAAAAAAGCTGGCAACTTTTCCAAAGTTTCTTCTTTCCAGCAAGCACAAGAATATGTGGTGGGGCATAAGCACCTAAGCATGGTAGTCTCAAGCGTTCTGACTGTCGTGCTGTTGCAGGAAAGTTGGGATTGGGAGAGAGGGTCCCGCTGAGGCAGGGAAGCACCGTTGTGAGCCAGCTTCCCTTTCATTGCTGGGCTTGTTAATCAGCCTGGAGGCTCACGTTTAGTGTGCCTGCAGCAAGAGAAGGGTCAAGTCCTGGGCACCTCGCTGAAGGGGGCTCCCAGACCACCACAGGCCCTCAGCCCCCCACTCATTTCCTGAAGGGCTCTAAGGGCTCACTGTGCCAGCAGCAGCAAATGGTGTGAAAAATGAGGGGATGTGCCCTAGGGAAACTGTAACAGGGAGGGGATCGGTCCTGGGCTTTTGTTAATCACAGATCTGGACCATACACAGTGGCAGGACCAGTGTGGGATCTAAGGACTGGTGGTCTTTTCCCTTCACTTTCTCTGTTTTCCATCTTTACTCTCCTCTCTTGTTCTATCCCACCAAGTGCGGCAGTTGGGTTTTACCCCTTGCTCTGTGCTGGAGTTGGCTGGGAGAGTCGGGAGCTTGGTAAAGTTCACTGTAAAAGTCAAGAGCTTGTTAGCCAACACTTCTACAATAGCGGGATGGCTGTCAGAGTTAAGGTGGCTATATAATAAAGGATAAGAGTTCCCTGACACTGAACTGCTGTCTTTCTTCAGTCCACTAAAAAGTTGTACTGAATTTTTGGGTTGTGACAACCCCTCCTCCTCACTTGAAAAGCATGGGAAATTTGCTTACACTTCTCAATAATAGCTTTTACTGTGAAGTCTTACTGGGACTATTGGTCCTTTTGTGAAGCAAAGTCAGGAGTGACCTCACTTTTCTTCCTGATAGTGAACTTTGCTTTCCTTGAATCAGTGGTATTGTTTTTATTGCTCTTCTTGTCCTGTGCAGCATGGATCTTCCCTTGCAGCTCTCTTCTTGGCTCCCATGTTTTCCACTTCATATTTCTTTGAGGGGACAGAATCCTTAGAAATTACATCAGAACTAATTAGGAGCTCATTCATAGTACTTTGATGCACTTTTCTGTGATGTCTTTCAATTTATAAAAGGAATTTTATGACATATTTATATGAATATATGTTGTATAATACGGAAGGAATTTATGCAAGGGAAGCATCTCTCTAATTATAGCTCAAAATGAAGTTTGAAAGCTTTGGATGATACAGACTGTCACCTATTTTGGTCTTTATTAGCTATTTGTTTTCTTAGAGCATGCTGTAAGTTACAAGGTGTTTGCATCTGAGAACTTGGCTTTAGTTAGAGGCAGGGGGAGGGTAGTGCGCTGGGTCCCTTCACTGAGACTTTCCAGTAGGAAGGATTACATGATAAATATTCTTCCTGTAGGTTCTCTCCACAGAAAGAAATTACTGGGGTGTGAATGCTGTGAGAATGGAATTGGAAATAGAAATTGCAGATGAGTAAAAATGTTTAACAGTTTTGTTTCATGATGAATTATCAAGGATTATGGGCATCTGTTATTTGAAGTATTTTAACTTTGTGCTGAATGGCTCAATAGTAACACATTCAGTTGGTTATTTAAAAATACTGCAGGAGCAAGAGAAAAGCTCATTCTTTAAGTGAGTGGTGACTCTCCTTTGGCCTTGCAAGTAGAGCAAAAAGACACATTATGTATTTTGTAGCAGCAAAAAAACACTGCGACTGGGCTTTTTCAGTCACTTTTAGTATTGTCTACAGTATCAGTGTGAGGGTTTGAAACTGGAAGCTTTGGATGAGTGGAGCAAGTAGAAAGTAATCAAATCTTAGTAGAGTATATTTGCTGTGTCTTCTGTGCAAATCCCATTTCTGTGTATTGCATCAGCAAGGAAAGATGTAAGTCTTGCACTGTTATTATGAGTACATGAGTTACTTTCTTTAAGAATCCTTTCTGGGACTGGCAAGTGTTCTTTTCCAGCATTTCTAGTTAAGAGTCAAAAAAAATGGTTCTGCTTGAGCATTGCACCATTCTTGCACCTGCCATTTGCTGGCCAGGCACCACAGCTAAGGGGGACTGGCTGCAAAAACCCAGCTGAGGCGCTGTCTTAAGGATACTGGAGGAAAAAATACCTCTTTTTCTCACTGAGACATGTCTCAGATGGAGATTGTTTTTTGTATGGTCTCCTTGAGGGGGAAATAAGTTTTGTAAGTACTGTTACCATCTTTTTTCTCTTTCCTAGGACATGATGGAGCTCCTAGAGGAAGATCTGACCTGTCCCATTTGCTGTAGCCTGTTTGACGATCCTCGTGTCCTGCCCTGTTCACACAATTTCTGCAGAAAGTGTCTGGAAGGAATTCTTGAGGGAAATGTGCGGAATGTGCTTTGGAGGCCATCCCCTTTCAAGTGCCCCACATGCAGGAAGGAGACTCCTGTCACTGGAGTCAACAGCTTGCAGGTCAACTATTCCCTGAAGGGTATCGTGGAGAAGTACAACAAAATCAAAGTAACTCCAAAAATGCCTGTGTGCAAAGTGCACAGCGGGCAACCCCTTAACATTTTTTGCAGGACAGACATGCAGCTGATCTGTGGGGTATGTGCCACCCGTGGTGACCACACAAAGCATGTTTTCTGTTCCATTGAAGAAGCTTATTCCCAGGAGAAGCGGGCTTTTGAAACTTTGTTTCAGGGCTTTGAAACTTGGCGTTGTGGAGATGCCCTCTCACGGCTGGATACCTTAGAGACCAGCAAGAGAAAAGCTCTGCAGATGCTGACGAAAGATTCTGATAAAGTGAAGGAGTTCTTTGAGAAGCTGCAGCACACACTGGAGCAGAAGCGAAATGAGATTCTGTCTGACTTTGAGACCATGAAGCTTGCAGTGATGCAGGCCTACGATCCGGAAATCAATAAACTGAACACGATTCTGCAAGAGCAGCGGATGGCTTTTAACATTGCAGAGGCCTTCAAAGATGTGTCCGAACCCATTGTATTTCTGCAACAGATGCAGGAGTTCAGGGAAAAAATCAAGGTGCTCAAAGAAACCCCTTTACCTTGTTCCACTGTGGACATCAGTCCCACAATGAAGAGCTTTGATACCAGCCAGTGGAATGGAATAAAGCTCGTTGATGTGGACAAACTGTCCTTGCCTCAGGAAAGCAACACATTCAAATTCAAGATTCCCTCAGTCTTTTCACGCAGATTTATAGTGAACTCTCTTATTTTCTTGCTCATTCTTGCTGTCACCAGAATGTCCTTTGTGGAGTCAGTCATTGACAATCTCCAGTGCTGGAAATCTCAGTTCCTTACAATTTGCTTGTCCTATTTGGCAGATACCGTGGAGATAGCAGATCATGCAGTCTTTTACTGGGAACAGATGACAGATGGAGCTTCACTGTTAAGAGAAAAGTGTAAAAACTATACGCTGGTTGTACTGGATAACGTCGCACAGTTTGTGTGCAAATATAAACTGTTGTGAAGTGTCTGCTGGAATATAAGAACTAAGAGAGATCTGGGGGAGAAAACATAGAACCTCTTAAATTAATTGGTCTTTTCAGACTTCCAATGAAAATATTCAAAGGTTCAAAATGATTCCAAAACATTCATAATGTTCACATAGTTTGAGCACTGCTAAACCAGAAAATGAAATGGAGCTTTGAAAAACACTTTGTGGATTCTTCTTTCAGTGGCGATTATGGGAATATTACTCACTGTAAATCATTTTTCTTACCAAAATATAGGGCCAAACTGTACCTTTAGTTTGATGTTAATGTAATTGTAGAATAAGGTAAAAGATTGTAGTTTAAAAAAAAATTCTAACTGGGAGATCGTTTGGAAAGAGGAAGAAGAGTTGTGACTGAGGTGAGCACTGTGCTGACAGGTTTGCTGAGGACTGTCCTTCCACTGCAAAATGCAGCATGCATAATTCATATTCTGGAACCAGCTTCTATCTGACAATGTTACTTCTCTCTGAAATAGCTATATGTTTTGGTTTTGTGGGGTATCTTTTTTATATAACCAAATATTGTAATTACCCTGTGCATTCAGATTACATGTTCTATAAAAAATGTGTCTTCAGGGCAAGCATAAATTCTAGAGGTAATGATAAGAACAAGCTGCAGGACAGTATGTGCTTTGCAGATAGTTCATACTTTGCAGTTTATTTTTCCAACATCAAATTGTCGGGGTAGCTGGGCTGTTTTGTTAGTTCCATGTTTCTCTGAAGCCACGCTTTCTTAAAAACTGGCCTTAACATAAAGAACTTAGTGCAGTGAAAGGCATGCAGGGGTCTGCCACAGGAAGGCAGCCTGGGCTCTAGCCCTGCAGAGGTGGCAGGTAAAACAGCTGCTCTCCTGTCCCTCTCTGCCTCTCCAGATTGCAATTCCAAAAGCCAGGAAAAATGACTGGATGATTCCTGGAACAGGTTGTGGGATGCAGCAGGTGTATGGATGTTGGTGGTGTTTGAAGAACCTTGTGTAGGTTCTTCTGCTGTTGCTGCATTGTTGTGTATCTCGTTTCAGGAGCTATTTGAATTTTCTGGTTGTACTGACTTGGCCTTAGATACAGGGATTTTAAGGGAATATTAAACTTGAGTCCTCTGAAGTGCCCTTCTTCCGGAGCATACAGTACTGAAATGTCTCGCCTGAAGCACATTTAACCTCTTTTTGCAGTGGTCGTACGAACAGCAATGTATGGAATGAAAATGTTGAACTGACATTTCTAGAAAACAAACATAATGTGTGCCATCCTTTGGGAATATTTGTTTGCCTCTCTGAAGGTTTCGTAAATTGTGACAGTCAATTCACTGTATTCCAGTAGTCCTCGCAAGCTGTTCATTTCAAAAATAAAACATTAAATTCCAAGAATTCAAAGTCTCCAAGCAACCAAACCCAGGAAACAAAACTATTGTACATGATATTTACATCTTTGTTGCCTGGGAATCCTGTTGCTGCTCCACACCTCACTCCAAACACTTGCTAAAAGCATGCAATGGTTTTTGCAGCTGCCTTGCAGTTTAGGAAGGATCAAGTCACAGACATGAGGATGAGAGAGCTGCGATTCCTGAGTGGCTGAGGCAGCCATGAGTAGTCGAGAGGTGGTTGTTCTGAGTGTGGGAGGTGTGAGATTTGTAACCCGGGCTTCCACCTTGCAGCAGTTCCCTGAGTCCAGGCTGGCACGGATGGTGAATGACGATGACCGGGAATTTAAACTGGTGAATGGAGAGTTTTTTGTGGACAGAGATGGAGCTTTGTTTAGTTACATCATGGACTTCTTGAGGACTCTCCAGGTGTCCTTACCACCTGATTTCTCAGACTATCAGAGGCTGCAGAGAGAAGCAGAATTCTATGGACTCTACCCCCTGGCCAACCTCCTGAGCCAAGAACATTTGCTGAAGCCGAGGTTGGAGATCTTGGAAGTGCGTTTTTCTCTCCAAGAAATGCAGGCCTTTTTCCGGATCTTTGGTTCCTGCAGTACCACCATTGAGGCACTAGCTGAGCAGATCACTGTGTTTACAGGGCAGCAGCCAGGACAGGGCTGGAACAGCCCTTTTCCTTCCCAGAAACCACTCGTTCCACTTCCTTTGGAAAGACCCTCGCATCATGATATGGTTTTTCTGTGTGGTACTGAGTATTCTGCTGGTGACCAGTTCGTGGCCAGGTACTGTCCCTAGAGTGACTTCTCATTACAGACTTTGTGACTTTGTGACTTGCAGTTCATGATGTGCACACTACGTGCTAGCAAAGATCATTTTAAAGAAACCGTAAGAAAAGAAATACATTTCCTTCTTTCTGTTCAATGTTATCTTTTTCTAGTTCTGAAACACCCAGTTTAATTTATTACATTGATTTGCCTGTTCTTCAGCTTCCTAAAGTACTGTTCTTGATGTTTGTTTATGAGCATTTTTGGGTTTTCTCTCTCTCCAATTTCCTCCTCACTCAGTTTAGAATTTCACAGTATCACCTTCTACAGAACATGAAAAATACAGTAAAATGAAGCAAAGGAAACAAAATAAAGAAGTAAAATAGTGGGTGGAAGCCTAAAATCTCTACTGGCTTATGGTGCAAAAGGCTTTCACATGAGAAACAGCAAAGAATGACAGGAAGGGTTAAAAATTCCAGTGGAACTGAGACAGGTTTTCGGGGACTGGAAAGCTTTTGTAGAGCTTTTTATTAGGGGGAGGGAGAATAGACAGATTATTAACTATATGCTTCACAGTGGGTTTCTTTGAATTCAGAGCCAGGTTTTGTTTTTATTAAGATAACTGTGTATCAGTAATTTGTGTGATAGCAGTATCATATTCTAATGACTATTTGGGTTACTTGAACTATCTTTTTCTGGCTGTCTCTATTGTATGGAGACATGTTCTTACTGTATAAGAAAATGTTAACCTATTTTGTCCTCTGTGGCTATTAGAATATCTGGAATTTTGTGGAAATTTCATTGAAATATTTAAAAAAATATTCTGTTTGAATATATGAACCAACACAGCAGTCTTTTGGTTATTTCTAAAAGAAAATAAACTTTATCTTTCTTCCAGATTTCTTTGGCTAAGCAATTAGAATAAAAACTACTTGGCATTTGTGAAGCAATATATATTTTTGTGTGCCAAACCTTAACTTTGTAACATATTACTAATTTTTGTGGACTAGCAATTGGTTGAGTAGGTTATGGCAACTTAAGTAGTGGGGAAAATATTTCTGACTTTTTCATTTATTTCTTCAGAATTGGTAAAAGTTTCCCTTTGCAGATCAATAGAAAAGCTGATCTTGAGTAATGAAACAAGTAAAATTTGATTATGTTGCCTTGCTGAATTTCTGTCTCCTTAATCTCTGTAGTGACATGGACTTTTTTGCCTTTCTTGTGCTTTCCATGAATGTTTGGTGTACTTGCCTGTGAACTGTGGAACAGTTTCACCTGTCAGTTTATACATTTTGTAATAGTGTTTTTACCTGACTTCTGCTCCTCAGAATGTCTGGATAGATTCTTACACTGTACTTTATATCAAATAAAATCTTTTGAGACCATGTGAAAATGATTTTAGTATTTGTTACCACAAGACCTGCTGTACAAGGTAACTTTGCAATAAATGTCAGTGTTTGTTGAGAGAGATCCTGTGTGTTGGAGAGTGATGCTCTTGGGGTGAACGTGACTCTTGCTGTCCACTGTTTACTCTTACCTGAAAAACTGTTGCAGCGTTACAGAGTCTGCTGCTTACTTCTCCTCTGTTGAGACAAGATGGGGGTTGTCACAGATATGTCTTAAGAAAGTAAGTTTTGTGGTGGAGGAGGGTGTGAAAGGAAAGTGCTTCTTCCCCAGCACAGAACTGGATGAACTGAGAATTACTCTCAATGAAGGAAAGAGTCCAGTCGTCCTTTATGGAAAAAAAAATATCTGGAGCTTTGGTTGCTTTAAACACAATGCAGTTGTGCTGATCTGTGCTGTAAAGAAGTAATTAAAGTGTGTTGTAACTGTTTTTTTGTCCCTCTGATTTTAGGTATGTTTCCATAAAGCCTGATAAAAGAAAGCTGATTAATGGTACTAACGTGCTAGGCCTGCTGCTTGACACTTTGCTCAGAGATGGATTTCGCCTCATAAGCACCAGGACAGCCGGCAGTGAAGAGAAGGTTGAATGCTACACTTTTGAAAGGATGAAGAGGGCAGCAGGCCTTGCCATCATGGTGAACCAAACCCCAGGGAGCTCTGGGGTAGCACAGGCAAGGAGAAGCCAAGTGCAGAAAGGGAAATAAGGGCTTTTGCTTCCATCTTTTGAATGTAGAAGAGGGATGTGTCAGCACTAGGGACCTTTCTTTTTGTTGTTTTGGCTTGTTTGAAACTGCAGCTATTGAAGGAAGTAACCAACACATTTTCTTTCAAATATTTAGGGGAAACAATTTCTTGCCTTTTACTGCTCTACCCTCTTTAAGTAAAAGAAGCCCAGATTCAATACTGGGTTTGTGGACCAGATTTCAGCAATTTCGAGAGTTTTTGTTTTTTCTCTGTGGCTAAAATTTACATGAGGACTTACAAAGCATCAGCCATCCCTTCCAGAAAATTGTTTTTATGTTCTGTGCTAATCTGCAAGTAGGGTTTAAAAACATGGTAATACATGAAGATGATGCAGCTGTCATCCCAACAGTTAGGAGTGGCTGGGGGAGGAATGCAAGCCCCAATGATTGATTAGTGCTTCCACTCACTGACTCTTGCACTTGGCTGAGAACAGTGTAAGGGGAACATCCCGAGCTGTGCTGCTGTGTGGCTTTGTGAAAGCCATCGCTGAGGTCTGTGAAATAATGTGTGACTGTCTCTTGTCCTCTCCTCCCATCTGGTGGCATTAAGATGCTCTTTGGTTCTGAGAATTAAATTATAAAGATCTTTGTGAACAGAAGGTCAGTTAATTTTTAGTGCTTTCACCACAAAAAGGATGAAAATGTGATGAACAGCCCTTCACATGAAAGAGTTTGTTCAGTTTCAAACAAAACAGTGCAAAGGATTTTTTAGTACTTGTTAAGTACAACACTGTTAGAAGGCTTAGCAGAAGTGGCTTTAAGAGCCTTGTTAGTCCTGTCATACCTTTGTAAAGATGAAAAAAAAAATTAGCTCAGGTACTGAGAGAGGTAAGTTAATGAAGCTTTATAAATTAAGAATCTTTTGTCCTTCCATCAAGGCAGGGAAGGAAGATAGCAGTAACTTCAGGGATTCGTTAGTTGCATCTCAATTTTGTTGCTGGTAAAGCACAGAATTCACAGAACCACACGGTTGGAAAAGACCTTAAAGATCATGAAGTCCAACCCATGCCCCGATGCCTCAACTAAACCATGGGCTCGAGTGCCACATCCAGTTATTCAGTCTGTTTTTAAACACATCTAGGTATGGTGACTCCACCACCTCCCCAGCCAAACCATTCCAGAACTTTATGAGTCTTTCTGTGAAAAACTTTTTCCTAATATCCAATCTATATTTCCTTTGTCGCAGCTTGAGACTGCACCATCTTCCCAAGGCTTCAAACAGCCCAGGAGAACCACTTTGGGCTTTCTTGGCTGACCAATTAAATCTGGCTTTTCATTAGTTTTAAAATGTGCATGCATTTATTGGCAGCACTTGATAAGGGAGGGTGGGACTCAGCCATCTGTTTCCTGCCCTAAGGAGTTTCAGTAAAATGGATCTTTCCAGAATGGAAAGAGGTGCCACTATGGGACACCTCTTTTCTTTGGCTACTGCTCCGGGGCATTTCAGCTTGACCCAAGTTCAGAAGCACAGTGAGATCCTCTTTGCTTGTTCTAGAGCTGTTTGAATTAAGAATAATATGATTATGGGACTACATCTCCCATGCTGCTTACAGGTTATGTAGTAAATGTAAGAGTGAATGATTCCACTTCAAATGGGATTTTTTTGGTCAGTAATGTCAATGTGTTCATATTTCTCTTGAAGTAAGATATTTCTTACAGTGAGAACCATTATTCACTGAACAACTTTCCCACAGATGTGGTGGAGTGTCCCTTGTTAGAAATTTTGAAGAAGGTGCTAAATGACTTCATGGAGGCTCTGTGTCATATGAAAGGCTGGACCAGATAATCTTTGAGTTCCCTTCCAGCCTGTCCCCACTAGTTGCTGTGCTGCTTGTTTGGAAATGATAATGTTGATTATTGGGAGAGTTATTGGTCGTGGATATTGTAGGTGGAGGGACTAGCCAATGTAAAGCACAAGACAAAAAAAAAAAAAAGCAAATTCTTACAGGGAAAGTTAAAAAAATAGACTTGAGGCTGTGTTTAGACATTATACCCTAAATGATCACCAATAGCAGTGATGTAAGCTGAGACAAGTTTCAGAACCCTTTATAGTAACAATTACACTGTTTCACTTACACAAAAGTAGGGACTTTGTTTTCCTTTCTGCAGCAGCCACTTTGAAAATTAAAATTTGGAGTCCAATTTTTTTTTTTTAATAAAGTGAAAGAAAAGACAAAATACTTCAATTTTTAAAGAGCCTCAAAGTTTTTACCTATGCCACCATCCATGTTCCATGTCTTTGGAAAAATGAATGTTTGATACAACCATTTCAATAACACTTAATGATGAGCTGAACACATGGGTTAATTTTTATGTAGCACAGCATCATTCTATGAATGCATTATTTGGCTCAGGAAAATATACCAGTGCAAGTTGCTGTCATGTAAAGAACCATATGCGCTTTACTTCACCCTTGGGTAACAGTGTGCTGTGACTGTGCTGCTTTTGGAAGCAAAGCACATGACCATCAACAAGCTTGTGTTCCCAGAGTTCTTTAGCATTTATTCTTACTTAGCTCTAAACTGAGAAGTGTCACCTTCTGTCATTTTGTGTTCCTGAACACAGAACATGATTAGGCTCTTACACAATGCTTTCACTTTGTTGGTTTTTTTGTTTGTTTGTTTTAACTAATAGTTCCTTAAATAAGAGAGCATGTGTGTGAACAACGTGATAGAAATCTGTTGAATGTGTCTGACTGATACCAGTAGGATACTCATGACTTCAGTGGAAGATTGATGGAATAAATTAATTGAATTGAAGCTGGTTCTTCAAGGAAAGCACCCTATTGGATTTCTTTATACAGAAAAAGGAAGCAGTGATGATAGAGCTACAGGTGTGTAGCTTCAAGCAACAACTAAATGGCCGTACTTATGGAGGTACAGATGAAATTATGTTTATTTGCAGACAAATAAATGTAAAAATAGCACTGATTTACTAGGAGGATCTTCAGCTGGCCTCCACTTTGTGAGGTTATTTATGCTACTGTAAAGTGTTGCTGAGTCAGGATGGCAAATTTTCTGTGCCCTTTTTGAAGTGGTATGCAGTGTAACCTGCAGGCACCAAGGCAGGAATTTAGAAATAGTGGCCAGTGTTTTTACTGCTCCTTCCCCTCTGAAGCCCCAAACAAGCAGGGATGCAGCAGAGAGCAGACTGTGTGGTGTGTGCTCAGCACAGTTATTCACACACAAGGGAACAGCTGTACAAGTGAATTTGGCTGATAGGAACTACGAGTCTGAGTGATTTTAAAAGCTGCTTCGTCAAAACCAGATTATGTGCTAAACTGAGTACTTCCACCCAAACCTTGGCAGGCAATTCAGCTCTGGTATCTCACAACACAATCTTTGCTAGACTAGCAGTGTGTTGTAGGTGACTTGGTTGTACTTTAACATGTGAGAACCAGAAGCTCTGATTGCTCACATCTAGCTCTCTTTTTGATTAAATGGGAATGGGATTTTGAGAAATTTAGACTTTTATTTTCCAATAAAAGTAATTTGTTATCCCTGACATAATCTGCTTCTTAAATCATTGCCAACTTTCTCAAGAGAATTCCTTTATTTCATGTGAAGATGCAAAATTTGCTGATTTCAGTAAACTACACTGCTGTATTTGCATTTTTATTCTTCCCTGGATTCAGCAGAAATGTGCAAACTGTTCCACTGCCTGTGATGCTAGAAAGGAACTGCCACAGTGCTGGGGCAGCCCCCTCACTCACTCACAATGAGCTCTCTGTGGCTTTGTAACAGGCAAACACACAGAGCCATAGGGGAAAAAGAAACTGAATGGTGAGGCAGCACCATCATCCTGTCCCACTCACAGGGACTGCGTGGCATGGCAGGAGATCATCCAAAATGAGGTGATAGCTTACAGGATTTGCAAAAGGCAGACGATTTACAAAAACAATGCCTCATTTGCTTTATACTTTCTCATCTTAATCACTTTTCCCTCCTTTATAATTGGGTGTTATCCTGTGTTTCCATATTCAAGACTGCCAAGGGCTTTGCCAGTACATTTGTGATGCCAGTTGGATGTCCCAACAGGATAGAGGTACCACAAACTTTTTCCATGCCCCTGTTCTTGCACCATGTAACTGTGTTGACTTCCTTTTCTAGTGATGGGTGACATTTTTTGTGCTTTTAAGTAACTTTTTGCTGCTTCTTCACACACTTGGAAGTCTGTCTTGTGTCATACTTATCCTTTCAGGGACATGTCATTTATTTACCACTTGAATTGTTCAGTATCCTGCTGATACCAGGAAAGACAGAGCCTATTGTGAAATACCTTCTTGTTCTTTGGGTATTGATTTCAGTGACACTTCATGAGGGTTTTTGTTTCTTTGGCAAGTGCAGTCACTGCATTCTAATAGGTTCTGCAGTCAGCACTCATGTGATCGTATAAATGGTTAAGAACAGATGTTTAAATAAAGCTCTATAAATTGATACAATAGACTAAGATACTATTTAGACTAAGACTGATCTCTGCACTGGCCATAGAACTGGGAAGTTTTCCCCTTTACTAAATAATTCCAAACCATTTTCCACTTACCTTCATAATTGATTTTCATGGAAGTAGTAGAAGATCCTCCCTACAATGCTGTATATCAGGAATTAATATCCATAGGGCAAAACAATGATCTGGAGTAACTGCATCATGCCCAATGATAGTAACTTCTGTTAACTTTGGAGAAACTTTTCTGCCTAGTGAACTCTTCCCAGTTTCTACCTATTTTGGTTGGTTTCCAGCTTTCCAGTGCTCAAAAATAACTCCCTTAATCTGACCTGAGCAAGGCTGATGCACTTTTGTCAGTCTCTTGAGTGGGTAAGTCTCAGGTACATCCAGCATAATCCAGCATAATAATCCAGGGTGATATTTTGTTTTGATCCACAGCTGAATTCAGTACCAGAAAGCCACCAGAGTGGATCAAAAGTTCTCTTTGAGTTCACACGAAGAGTTCATAACTTTGAATTTATTTTTTTTAAAATTTGTTCCTAGATTACTGGAAAGTGTTACTAAATATTCATTGAGAAACAAGCTGGGAATTATCCAAGAAGAGGAGGGAGGCTCATTGACTCTTGCTCCTTTGCTCTGATTTGTGCTGAACCATTGCCAAGCTTTAACTTTACAAGGTTTATTTTTATCGATTTCCAACAGTAAACAGTGGGAACATCTTCAATAAAAGATTTACAGTGCATCATGAATAAATACAGCTCCCTACCACATATTATATTGATCTATTCCCAAATGCTACTGAAATAGCCTATAAAACCCCAAATGAAGTCAAGTGATGGAGAACTTCCTCTCTCTAGTGACAGATGCATATGACTGTTGTGTCTTCAGAAGACAATAAAAGGGAAGGGAGTGACTCTGCTTCTTTAACCATATCTTCAACAGCCCAGTTAAATCTGTCAACTCAATGTAATCCACATAAATAACGAATTTGGGAACCAAGGGAACTGCTGGTGTGTCTGAAGATTCCCATTCTTTGAAGCTGTCTCTCCTGCTGCAGTCAGACCATAATTAGTCACAGAAGGCCTTGTTGTAACTAGTAAATGGATGGACCAACAAGGATTTGAATAGTCTGGTTCTGGCTGAATATATGCCTGGAGCCCTGAATATTCTCAAATGGGTGGGTGAGATGTAAATCACTAGTCATCTTATAAAATACAAATAAATCTGACTTCTATATTAAAAAAAAGTCAGTTTTTAAGACCATCATGTAGTTTCTGCTGAAATAACCTCCTGAAGTGTGATCTGAAGTGTAAATTTTTCCAAAAATCCTTCTTCCATTTCTACTCTGTTTTCAATCTAATAGAATGGTTCAATAATTGGTGTCTTCTTTCTGGTCAGAAGGATGATGAATGTAGCCCTAAAGGTTGGAAACTAATGTGTACAAGTCTGCTGTAGAAAATTAATTTAGGGCTTTGCTTTCTAAGCAAGTTACTCTTACAGCAGTCAGCTGAGTGCTTGCTGAAACTGTGAAGAATTAAACATTGCAACATTGTTCCATCCTGATTCTCCACTGGAAAAAAAAGGCAATAGATTGGAAACATCAAGTCTGGGGTTTTACTGGTACTTTGGAGTCAGGAACTGAGTTTTCTTTGAATTTCAAAGGCAGTTTGTAGCTTTCATTGAGGGCCTTCTGAAAAGGCTGGTTTATGGTTTTTGTTTTTGTTCCCCCAGTGATATCTAAACTGAGTAATAAAATAATTGCTGGCATACCGGTTTATTTACAATGTTGTACTCAACAGTAAACAGAAGGCATGCTGATCCTTCCATCCTTTAATCTTTGTGTTTTTACTGTGTCTTCAGCGTGCTCCTCAGCTGGGTCCTGGTAGAACAGAGGAAAGGGCTACATGGTAAGGACAGGCAGAGATCCACAGAAGGCAGCAAACTCACTTCCTTCCCATTACAGAGAGGAAGTAAAGGAATAAATTAGGCTGGAAAGAGTCATGGCCTTTGTGGGACCAAAAGCACACAACTTACTGTATTGAGGAGAGGGACAGAGCTGCCAGAAATGTCAATGCCACTGGACAAGAAAAAGCAGATCTCACAGGGGTGAACAAATGGGTGGATAATAGCTGCTATACAAACCTGGAAATGGCACAGAATAACATGGACAGGAGACTTACATGTTCATGAGACTATAGGGATGTTTTGTTTTTTCCAATGTGTTAGGTTAATGCATCTGTAGAATATCTTCCAGGAATAGTTTGCATACCTGAAGAAGAAAATTTCTCTTTAGGAGGTAATTTCTGCATATGTGCTGTGAAATGAAACATCGCAGGATCCAGGCATCAGATGGATTAGTCATGTTGATACCTCACACCTGGAAACAAAAGCTAAGATTTTGGAGGTCAAATAGATAAACTTTGAAGATCAGAATAACATCACTGTTTTGGTTGTGCTCGGGTGATAAGCCTACTGAATACTTCCTGGATGTGTCCTGTTGGTGGCCTTTGTTTCAATGCCAGTTGCACTACAGTGAGCACTAACCCTATCACTAAGTTCCTAGTTTTCCATAAACTAGAAGGGTATTTCCTGGAAAAGACTTGTTTACATCTTTTGTTTTCTCCATTTGAAATTCTGTCCTTAAGCCATAAAATATTCATTTGCTACGTATAGTTGTTCAAAACATTATCTTCTGAAGATGGCTCAGTAAATCATGGATCTTCAGAACACTTTAATAGCTTAAATATGGCCATGTCAAGAATGTAAGGGAAACATTGTACCTGCATGGTCACTGATGTAACAGAAGCTTCTTCCATGATTGGTTAGGCTAAAACTGCTGTCTGCTTCTATTTCGTAAGATTTCTTTGACAATTGAAGTGTGATTGTGCAATCTGGACTTCACTGTCAATATACAGTCCCAAAATCTCTACAAATACATGTTGGAAAAATGATGGGCAAACAATTGTCTTTTTGCAAGATTTATGTTTTGGAGACTCCCAGCTGGAAAATGCCCAGGCAGGCACAGGAACACCTGAGCAACTCCTCTTTTGGCTATGGTTTACCCTCATAAGCTGTGCTATAACAGTGTCTTGTGCTAAGCTATTGAAAGTCTGACCCCTAGAATCACAGAATAGCTCGGGTTGGAAGGAACCTTAAAGATTATCTGGTTCCAGTCCCTCTGCCATGGGCAGGGACACCTTCCACTACACCAGGTTGCTTCAAGCCCCATTCCACTGGCTCTTGAACAATTCCAGGGATGGGGCTTCCACAGAGTCTCTGGGACACCTGTGCCAGTGCCTCACCACCCTCTGACCCATGATCCATGCTCTCAGTGAGCTTCTGAGGTAGGCTCTGAGACTGAATAGAAAAGCTGAATGTTATGGGAAGTCACAGAAGGCTAATGGAACATCAGACTGGTATGGTTTGGATCATCTCTGTTCTGTGCAGGGATCTATGCTGACTTCTTGTCTACCCTCAGGAGCAAGACAAAGCCATGAGTGAAGGATGTAATGACAGTTCTTAGATCACTTAGGGAATGTTCAGGACATGCATGCATATGTGGGTTTTTGTTCTGAAACAGGCAGTGACAAGCACACAGGTCTTACACTGGAGGCAATGACGCCTGCTGGAAAGAGCACACAGTTCCTTCAGGCAGGGTGGGTAACAGTGTGGAAATAACTGTTTTGAAAGCTCAGAGCTCTCAGGGCTTTCTAACTTGGTAGTGATAAACTGCTGGCTGAAAACATTTCTCTGTATCTGATCTTTCAGCTGTACGTATTTACATTTCTTGAGATCTGGGACAGCCTAAGCGAATACTGTACTGGAATTGGAATGAGCTCACTACCACCTTTCCCCATCCCTTTTTAAGAAATAAAAAGGGAATCTCTCTTCCATAGGAAAAGAAGCAGTGGTACCAATGATCTAACATGTTCTCATAAAACACCTTGTGACCAAAAGGAATCAATGAGTGACTAAAATAGAATACACAAATCTCTGTGACAGTTGGTAGGCTTTAACACATTACAAAACCATTTCAGTGCTTGAAAGGAAGAGGTACAACTTTAAAAATATTCAAAATGTTCTGGTGCAAACAGTCACACTTCCATGTGGATGAAAGAAGCAGGTGAATTGCAATACAGAAGGAAGTTTTCTCTTTTTTTTTTCCTCTTTGAGTCTTGTGCTGCTTTGCTGGAGGGCATGTAGGCCTGCAGGGTTGGAAAGCCTATGGTCTTGTGATGCCTGTAGTTAGCAACTGGTATTTTCTTGTCTTGAGGATCTAAGAAGAGTGCATACAACCCTGTCTATACAAAGAGAATGCAAAGCATTGAATAGGTCATTTGCTTCAGAAAACCCATAAATACTTTTTATCAAGATGTCTGTCTCTGGAAATGTCACTAGTGCATCATATCTAAATTCCTTTCTAGATGTCTGTGACAATGCTTACCATTTCAAATTAGCATTTGCAATATTAACTAATAATACTCTAGAGAACCTCATTTTCATAAGGGAATTCTTTCTGCAGCGGAGATAAAACTTCAGCATCTTTTTGCTCTAGGTGTCAATATTTGCTGTCATTTGAGACAGCTTTCAGAGTCAATTAGCTTGGGAAAGACCTCTGAGATCAAATCCAACCCATGACCAACTGAACACCACCTTGTCAACTGGACCATGGCACCAAGCGCCACATCCAATCTTTTCTTAAACACCTCCAGGGATGGTGACTCCACCACTGCTCTGGGCAGCCCATTCCAATATCTAATCACCCTTTCTGAGAAAAAATTCCTCCTAATGTCCAACCTAAACCTCTCCTGGTACAGTTTGAGGCCATTTCTTCTCATCCTGTCACTTGTTACCTGGAACAACAAACAGGTTCTCTGCAATTACCTAAATGACTGTTGTAGCACAGTGTCAGTCAGCCTCCCACGGTGTCAGTCTTTTCTCCCAGATAACCAGTGACAAGGTGAGAGGAAATGGCCTCAAGTTGTGCTAATGTAGGTTTAGATTGGATAGTAGGAAAACTTTCTTCACAGAAAAGGCGGGTGGGCATTAGAACAGATTGCCCAGGGAGGTGGTGAAATCACCATCCCTTGGAAACCTCAAAAGGCATGTGGGTGTGGCACTTGGGGATATGGTTTAGTGGCAAGTATGGTGGTGCTAGGTTAATGGTTGGCTAGAGATCCTGGAAGTCTTTTCCAGCCTTAATGCTTCTGAATCTGTGAGATGCTGAAAAATACAGGAAGTTCCCATCTCTGTAAGGTGCCCTAGTGTGAACCACACCTACTTCTACTGGTGTAGGATGTCCAGCTAAACAGAACTGTACAGAACCTTTCAGTCTTCTGGTTCTGACTAAGCACAGGAGTATTTTATATGGAACTAGTCCTACAGGATGTTGGAAGCTTATAAAAAATTATCTCTGACTACCAGCAGAGTAGAGAATGTTTGAATCATTACTGAAGGCCAGACACTCATTAAGTTTATGAGGGGTGATTCTGAGCCTGATTTGACAGTGAGGAGCTTGATTTTTCTGATGAAGCTCAAGGATTCAAAAGTGATTCAACCTTGCTATAAATTTGGTGCCACATTGTTACTGATAATTTCTCTAGAATTATGGCTACCAAGGAATCCAAGAACTGTAGACCAATGTATCATGAAAATTCCAGCTCTGTGTGATTGGATTGCCTGGTGTTCCCAGGTCTGAACTGTGCTTCAGAAGAATTTATGTAGGATAAAATCAGGATCTGTTTTGCAAATGTTCTGTTCCTTTTCTCCATCTAATTAAGGTCTAGCCATGTTAGGAGACTTGCTGACAGCCTAGGACAAGAAGTTAGAAAAGCAAAAGAGCTCTGGTCTTTCTCAAGTGTTTCTGCTCAGACAAACTAGAACCAGAGGCCAGGTGCCTGTATCACTTGTGACATCTTGAGGCAAGATGTTTCACTTGCTCAGCCTTCTTAGAAGATACATGTGATGCTCATCAACTCAAGTTAAGTGTATCTTATGTAGACAGTCTTTAATGACACCACAACATTACACAGCAAATGTTTGAATACTAGGGAGGTCATGCTCATTCATGGGGTATGCCCAGACATGGAATTCTTCCTAGGCTGAAGCAATTTTTCCAACCAAAGCGAAAAAAACCCCAAACCCAACAAACCAGAGATGCTACGGTTTCTTAACTAAACCACATCTTAACAGTTACTGAAGTGTTAATATAAACAAGTAAGAAAGTAAAGTAAGAAAAAACTAATGAAGATTAGTGAAAAATAAAATTACTACTCACTGGCTAATGAAAAGCTCTCTGTAGCCACTGGCAGCCTGAAGAATGAGGGGATGGTTTAACACTGCACTTGCACAAAGAAATGCAGCTATTGCTTTCACAGGTGCTGATGAAAAATGTTCTGCTCTTGATACTCATGGGTACCAAAGGCTGCATGCAGCACCTCTGTATCAATGCACAACACACACACACAGAAGAATTACAAGTATTCTTAAAGATGTTAGAATTCAGGGGGATATTTTTTAGTTTTGTCTATGTAATATCCAGAAGCAGATGAAAGAAGGTGTCACAGGTAAAGAAGTTTTATATAAATTATTTGGTTTTAACATCCTATCTCAAGGATGTGCCTTATGGGGATTCACAGTAGTTTCCCCAGGCCTAGGTGTCTCAAAAGAAAAGCCTATTGAAAGCCTGAGAAACTCAAACACCATAAATCACCAGGACCAGGTGCTGTTTTTAAAAGAATCCTGCAGTACAGAATAAAAAACTAGAGATAAAATTAGGATTCTGTAAATTACAATTAAAAATGTCCACTGCTCTGGACAATTGTTCACAAAGAGAAAAACTGCAATTTTAGAGGAAAGTGAGATACACTCATAGCAAAAGGTAGTGCTTTTCTCAGGCTACTTACTTTATGCCTGAATAAGCATAAAATAATGGGATCACAATATAACAGCTCTGAAAGTTATCTGTATGTTCTAAGTGACTAGAATTATTTAAACAAACGAAAAATTAAAGATACTCCAAGAACCATGAGGAAGTCCTGAAGTTCAATCCTAATTTGGGAATGGAACAACCACTCCTCAGAAGAGGAAGAATATTTTAATTTTTCTGAACAGGGTAAGTTATTTGAATCTTCTTCAATCTAGAACAGGCTCTTACCTATGCTGCTAATTTATGGGGGGGGGGAATGTAAACTCTCCTGTAAAGAAAAACCCAAACTAAAACAAAAAACCTCTGAAACCCAAAGACTCAAAAAGCTGCTTCAAACACAGAAAGAAAGCAGTTTGGGGGTAGATTGCAGAAAGGAAGAGATGAGTCCTCTTGCTGGCTGCTGAACAGCCATGAAATTCTTCAATGCTACTCCCTGCTTTCCATCTTCAGCAGATTTAGAGAACGTAGGAGAATAAAGCAGTTTAAAGCCACCTTTACTGGTGCTCTCTTCAGCAATAAAATCCAGAATTTGGCATAATAGAGGACTGTGATGTAATTCACAAATACTTCATTATCTCAGTGTTCATCTACTGGAAACATAAGGTATTCCTTTAGTGTGCTTTAATGGGTACTTATATTTATTGTATGCTGACTTTACCATTACTTCAGGAAACATCTTAGGAAAAGAATATGGAACATGCAAGGAACTGCACAGTTAGTCCAATAAAAGCAAATTCCACTACCCTTTGAAATCCTACCTGCAGCTTGCTTTCATCTGCTAACATCAATAGTTATCACTGCCAACAACCTTTGAACAAAATAGTTATGTGACTTTTTTGCACATATCCTTGATTTAACAGGAAAGATGGGGAACATCTGTGGGCAACTTCCACTGGGTATTTTTTCAAAAGCAGGAGATGTGAACTTGAATCTCCTCAGGCTTCTGAAACCCAAGTTTTCTGTTTTGTGGAAGAGTTCCCTTGCCTTGGGATTGTTTCAGCTAGTTTAAAACTCTTCTGAGGGATTTTAGCAAGTCATGACAATTTTAAACCAGTTCTCTGTTCTGTCCCCATCTTTCCCACTCCCCCTTTTCAATCATAGCATGTACCCTCATGTTTCTGCCAGCTGTTCCAAGACATCTGATCACTGATTTTTTTAATGTGTTCTAGGAGTGAGAAAAAGTCCTCCAGCACTCTGGCTTCCTAGGCATCATGCTAGTCTTCTGTGCTGTAGTACAAAACTAACTGTCACATCAGTTTCTCTAGCACTGTTGCAGCTATGGATTTTCAGATCCAATTCCTTAAACGAAGATGAGTCGTTATAACCTTGGCCATACCTGATGCAGAAAGAGAGCTTCTGTATTATCTTAGAGCAGAAAATCCTGTACCTCTGTGGCAGAGTTCTTTCTAGAATCCTCGTATCACCCAGTACTACATTTCATACAGTACCTACAGCATTCCATCACTACAAGGATATACAGTGACCATTACAAGGGAGATTTTAGGTTCTCTTTACAAACTCTTTGGGGAAAAAAAAAAAGCCAAAACACCAAAAATGCCTAATAAGTCAAAAATGCCTAAAATGCCTGCAATTGTCAGCATGAAACATTAATTTCATTTTGAATAAGAATTTCTTCAGTTTCTCAACACATGAGAAAACAAACTACAAGTATTCTGCTAGTTGCATTGGTAGCAACTTAAAACACAGGAAAAAAACATCTTAAAGCAAAGCAAATGTGATAAAAAAAACCACCCAAGACTCTTGGTAAAACTGTACCTTGTTAAATAGAAGCTCTCATAAATGTGCCTGCAAGAGAGACTCAGTCATTAAATAAGGCTGTACCTGGTTAGTTCACTGCCAGCTTAAAAACTTGAGTTTTAAACCCCTGCATTCTGGACAGAACTAGATCTAAATAATTTGCCTTAGTCAGGCTGTGAATGTGATATTAAAGCATGCTAGTCATAAATTTTATCACAAGGACAAAGCACTGTTCTACGTTTTTACTACAGCAATTTAGAAATAAATTTCTATAAAGGCATTAAGAAACTGTGTGCAGGCACTCTAACCAAGCTTTAACATTTCTTCTACATAAGAGATAAAGCTTGATTCAAAGGCAGCTTTTTCAAGCACACACATTTTTCTTCTCCTTCCACTTTCTCTATTTGTGATATGGGATCGAAAAAAATTGCTTGTTGAGTACAATGAACAGCTGAATTCAAGCACAATTCCTTTCTAGAACCTCCACAGCAATACAACCAACAGGGGGCTGTCTGGCTACACGATGTTATCAAATCTGCAGTGAAATCCTCTCCCTGACTGTGCAACCTACCACTCCTGCACATTTCCTAAAATTCGTTGAAGAACAAGTCATTT